TATGTTTAGACTTCAGAAGAGATTTGATCCTTTAGCAACGGGTGCAATGCGGTTTGTCTGAGTGGAGTAGCCATATGTTGACATCATAAAAGGGGCGGGGCCCCGAGCAGATCTGATACCTACAGCGAACATGCAAGTCGTTTTTCCTCAGGCTCTGCCTGATACAGGATCCAAGGATTCATGGCAGCATCACGCTTTTTCATGGAGTCCTACTCTGCTGTACTTTGAAGCACTTTAAGGGTTTTATTCTCAGTGTAGAAGCGTCGTTTTTAAGCTCCTTCACCCTTCAATAATCATCAGCATCTGCAGAAATAATGAACCAGTTCATGGCGTTGACATGACGACAGGTTGCAGGCATCCCCAAAGTTGGTAGTTGAGGGCACCTGTCTTGCAGGTTTTAGAAGTTTCAGCTGATTCTGATGATTGCAGTTCAGCAAAAGCCTGTTAATCAGCAATCAATGGAAATCAGCTGTGCTGGAGCAGGAGAGCAGCCCTCCAGGACTGACTTTAGGGATGCCTGGTGTAAAGGTTTATTAAAGTGTTTGAATAAACTGCTGTAGTGAGACAGTAGAAGTCGGCTTTGGTCTTGGTTCCTCTCAGCGTCAGAGATAGACGCCAAGGCTTATGTGGCCGGTAAAATGTTAAATGCTGATAGTTTTCTTACAGAACCTCACTTTAAAAATGCTGAACTGTCCCTTTATGTCTCTGTTTTAACTGGATAAAATCAAGTAGATGTGATTTGTGTATTTGAAGGCCTCAGGAAGTGGAGTGACGATGTGTGATCAGATTCATTAATCATTGAGGTGTGTGTGTGTGTGTGTGTGTATGTGTCGGCCCAGCAGGGGGAAAAATCATGGGTTTCAAATTCATGATGTATTTTGCACATTATGTTTTCCTTGTTATAAATAAAGGATGGGAATGTCGATGCATAATAAATAAATGATTTGTTTTTGTAGAAAAGTTGCTGTTTTATGTGTTTTTATTTATGTGCAAACTGTTGGATGGTGTATGCTGCTGAAAAAAAGTAAAGAAAAAACAATCCAGTGGACTTTGTTTCCAAGTTTGAAGACATTTCTCTTCCCATCCAGGAAGCTATATCAATTCAAAATGTCAGAAATAACTTTAAAATTCAAAATTTTGAAATGAAAAAGCTTTGTAGATGGGAAGAGAAACATCTGTTTAATTTTTCTTGGAATGTTGGATGGTGTAATTACACGTAGATGTCACCAGATGGTGCTGTGTAACACATCCACACTACCTGCTGGTGGGAACCTCTGGAACATCTGGCTGTCTTTGCCTCGGTGCATCCATGACTGACTGCTGATGACTCAGAAATACATCAACAACCCGCCTGTAAGACCCTCCCCTCCAGTTATCTGTGCTGCCAGCCTGCCTCTACGGCCGGAGAGCAGCTGCAGCACCGATGGAGAAGAAGCAAGGATCTGCTCATCAGTATGGTTCACTGGAGCGTACAGCATGGAGCAGAGATGCCAAACAAACAGGTTGGTTTAAGAAAAGCTCCTTCTGTCTGTCTATCTACTTCACAGCCTTCAATCTGACAAATATAGACCTATTTTCACTCTGGTAAAGACATTAGCCTCCTGTGAAATACAATTTAACTGCACCTTCTCTAAGTACTTAACTGTGTTTGTCTTTTCTTTTAGTGTGTTTGTGAATCAGAAAATCAGAATTACTTCATTAATCCCTTGCAGGAAATTATTTGCAACTGTTTACAGAAGAGAGAAAAATAAGATTGTAAAAAGAATGAAATATAATAAGACAGAATAAAATAAAGTCAAATTAGAACCTTCCCATATAAACAGTGTAAAGAAAAAAATAAAATAAGATGAGGAAGACACCCAATGTTTGAACTCTTGTTTTAGAATTTAGATTTGATCATTTTAAAAGTCTGAGTACCTTTAGGAGCTTTTTGAATGTCTTTGTTGACGTGTCAGGTTTTTAAATGTCAGCAGCAGTGGCGGCTGGTGGAGTTTCCTAATTCAAAATAGACGTAAACCAAAAACCACCCAAGCGTATACTAAGTTATCACACCAGGATATTGAATACCAGCAACAAAAAACATTATAAAAAATACTTTATAAAAACAAAACATAATTTCATGTCCAGGTTTACTTTTTGTCCATAAATCTTTCCCTTCTGAGGCTGTGAAGGTAAATCTGTGTTCATATAAATTTACTCTTTATCAGACCATATTGCCCCAAGATTTAGAAAATGTCTAATTTTTTTTTTCAATCTTGTCTTAAAATCTGTGTTTTTTTCATTATCTTCTGCAGGCCAGT